CGCTGCCGGTCGGACCCACTGATGTTTGGACTGGCCAGCAAGGCGTGGTCGCCAGAATCACGGCCGTGACATTAAACCGCTGCTGTCCGGGGCAGTGTCTGCCTGGCCGCCCCGGCTCCCAGCCTCAGCAGTGGCGGCCCTTTGCGGGCCTTCTGCTCCCCCTTCCACACACAGAAATGTGTCCTGACTTATCTGACGACCCCGTAGGAGGCCTAGCCAGGGCTGGGGCTAGCGCGAAGCTCCGCCATGCTGGAAGCCATGTGGAAGGCGAGGTTCGGGTCCCAGGCTGGCTCGTGCCCCTGGGAAGGGTGTGCGTTCGCAGTTCCTGGCTGGCCGCAAGGCTGGGGCCCAGAAGGGTGGTGAGTAGCATTGTGGCAGGAGACCCCCTTCAGTATGACTGTCTCTGTCTCTCTTCTGTCTCTCATGGACGAAATTTAAAATGCACTAGAAAGAGTGAGCAGTACAGATATCCTGGGCTCTGACCGCGGCTTTGCCACTCCTCGCCGCGCGGTGACCTCATGGCAGCGGCCCCAGTGTGGTGGTCATGGGTCCCACCCTGGCCTGTGGGGACTCAGCGTGTGTGACGACCAGGACTGTCCTCGGGCGGGGTCCTGGCCACTCTGCCGACCCCCCGTGGCTGCCCTGCCCTCTGTGGGTCCCTTCTGGGAGCACGACCCGCATCCCTGGGCTGCCTTGCTGTCAGACTGCCCTGTCTGCCTCGAGAGCACGCATGCCCCCAGGAGCGCAGAGCACGCAGCCAGCCGGGCCTTCATGGCTATGCAGAGTCCCACCACACCCACGCCTCTCCAGTCGGAAGCTCTGACCTCGTGGCCCGGCCTTGGGCCCTCCTACTGTGGGTGGCCTTGCCCACTGTCCTGTGAGCGGCCTGGACGATGCGGGCTCCTAGCTGGCTGGTGAACCAGCTAAGCCTGTTCCCCATGTGAGCATGAGGTCCGGGACAGTCTGGCTGGGGTCGCCAGAGCACCCCACAGCTTGTGCAGGTCCGCGGTCACGGCTGTCCTGTGGAGTCACAGGGGACTGCACCCCCACATCCCTCCACCCTGGCCCTGAGCCCAGGGCCCCTGGGTCCCACCAGCAGTGCCAGGGGAGTGCCCCCAGG